GCTTCAGTCCATTTTAGCCATTTTTCTGCTTGTCTAGATTTTTCACAATTGAAAATAAGAAAAACACAAAACAGTTTATTTCAGGCCAAGTATAGTGACATGCACCTACAGTCCCAGTGACTTGGGCAGCTGAGGCACAAGGATTTTTTTTTTTTTTTTTTTTGAGACAGAATATTGCTCTGACACTCAGCCTGGAATGCAGTGGCATGATCTCGGCTTACTGCAACCTCTACCTTCTGGGCTAAAATGATTCTCCCACCTCAGTCTCCCAAGTAGCTAAAACTACAGGCATGGGCCACCACACCCAGCTAATTTTTCTGTTTTTGGTAGGAATGGGGTTTTGCCAACTTGCCAAGGCTGGTCTCAAACTCCTGGGCTCATGCAATCTGCCTGCCTCAGTCTCATAAAGTGCTGGGGTTACAGGCATGAGCCACTGAGCCTGACTGAGGATCTTGAGTTTGAACCCAGCCTGGACAAAATAGTGAGATCTCATTTCCCAAAAAAATATTTTTTTTTCAGACAGCACCTTCAACCTCCTGGTAATTCTGTCTGCTGAATCGAGGGGGCTACCAGGCATTATTAACCAACCTGAAAACCAGAAAAAAACTTGGTACGTACTTGATTTCAGACTGTCCACATGGCTTCTTCCTCGAGAGGCTGAGCAGATCTCTGCCATATCTCTCTTCAATTGCTGCCCTAGGGGAATAGAAGAGAGGATTATGGGCCCTTCTTAGAGCTAACTCTTCCTTAAGACACAATGACCCTCCCCTGGAAAGCAAACTGCACCTGTGACCATAGAAGCTCAGATTCAACAACATTCTCTAAAATGCAAGACTGCCTCTATACGATGGGGAACAACTGTAAAAAGATCAGTGGCCCAGGGCCAGGCGCAGTGGCTCATGCCTGTAATCCCAGCACTCTGGGAGGCTGAGGCAGGCAGATCACAAGGTCAGGAGTTGGAGACCAGCCTGGCCAATATGGTGAAACCCTGTCTCTACCAAAAAAAAAAAAAATAAAATAAAAAAATTTAGCTGGGTGTGGTGGTGCATGTCTGTAGTCCCAGCGACTAGGGACACTGAGGCAGGAGAATTGCTTGAACCCCAGAGGCAGAGGTTGCAGTGAGCCCAGATCACACCACTGCACTCCAGCCTGGGTGACAGAGTGAAACTCCGTCTCAAAAAAAAAAAAAAAATTGGTGGCCCTCATCTCTACAGTGATCTTCTCCAGTTGGAAATCCCTAACATGGGCATTATGTGAACAATACAGTAAAACTAAACATTTGTTTAAGTGGAATAAGAAATGTCCAGCTCTCCTCCATCTTTTTTAAGAGTGCCCTTTATCATGCTATAGAGTTCTTCATTCATAGGCAATTCAGATATGCAACTAAACTGTACCAAAGGAAGGAGGATTTCAGGACAGAAATTCTGCAGTCAGCATGCCCTATAAAAACACTGATTGTTACTCAGCATTGCAGGGCAGTCTCAGCACTAAACATCCTCCTTCCCTTTTCCCTTCTCCCCACTGATTTTGTCACATCTTCATTTCTTGTCCCAACCCAGCCTTATCTAAACTACACGATTAGGACAGAGTGATTTGGGCTCATCTACCCAACTTTTTTCTTCAGATTTTAAAAAATTTATAAGTAATAAATGAATATATCCTCACAGTAAAAGACTGCAACACCACAAAAGTAGATAGTCTAAAACAAGCCAGCACCTTCCTGCTCTCTTCCAGCTCCACTGCTCTCCCCAGGGGAAGCCCCTGCCAAGGTTTGTAGTTAGCTTTCCAGTCCCTTTTCTCTGTATTTACATATTTTTACTTCTATAGTACAAAGTCTCCTGAATTAGTTCCAGTTTTCCCTACCACAAAAAAAGAAAAAAAAAAACTAAATAAACATCTGAACATTCGTGGACATATATCGATGAGTATCTCTGAGAGTGTCTTACTCTGCCACCCAGGCTGGAGTGCAGTGGTGCAATCTTGGTGCACAGTGACCTCCACCTCCCAGGTTCAAGCAATTCTGCTGCCTCAGTCTCCCACGTAGCCAGGACTACAGGCATGCGCCACCACACCTGGCTAATTTTTGTATTTTTCATAGAGATGGGGTTTCACCATGTTGGCCAACATAGTCTTGAACTCCTGACCTCAGCTGATCCACCTGCCTCAGCCTCCCAAAGTGCTGGGATTACAGGCGTGAGCCACAGCAACTGGCTTGAGAGTGCTTTTCTAAGAGTTCTGAGAAAGTGAATTTACTAGGTCAGGGAAATAATGCATTTTAAATTTTGAAAAATAGTGCCAAAGTGCCCTCCAAAAAAGCCTTGTCAATTTATGCTTCCATAAAAAGTGTACAGGAGCTCCCACTTACAGGAATGCTGACCCACAGTGCATACAAATAATCTTTTAAAATTGTTACCAGTGTGAGAGGGAGGTTGAAAAAAAAGAAGAATCTCATTTTTAATTTGCACTTCCCTGATTTCTAGTTTTGTTGTGCATCATTTTATACATTTATTGTTTATTTGCATTTCTTCTTCTGTAAGTTGTCATCCAATTTCTTAACTGAACATTTTGCCTTATTCCTATTACTTGGTAGAAGTTCTTTATGTATATACAATTTATTCTTACATATGTTACAAAGTCTCTCCCATTCTGTCATTTGTCTTTTCAAATAAAATAACTATTTTATTCATTTTATTAAAATCATACATTCTCATTACTCAAAAACAAGCATGAAGAAAAGTACAGGCTGGGCATGGGTGCTGTGGCTCATGCCTGTAATCCCAGCACTTTGGGAAGCCAAAGTGGGAGGATTGCTTGAGGCCAGGATTTCTAGAGCAGCCTGGGCAACATAGCAAGACCTCGAGTCTACAAAATTAAATAAAGACTTGGGTGGCTCCGAAGTGGAGAATGAAGCAAAAGGTAATTTTCCACCTCAAAAGAAGCCAGTGTGGGCGGATGAAGAAAATGAAGATGAGGAAATGGTTGACACAATCAGTTTTGGAAAGATAGGATGAAAAATGCTAGCGAAAGTGAACTTTCAAAAGACAACCTTAAAACGAGACTTAAAGACGTATTCCAGCATGCCATGGGAGGAGTACCTGCCTGGGCAGACTCATAAGCGGAAAATGTCTTCAGCTGATGAAAGTGAACAGGATGAAGATGATTTGTCGCAAAGGACTGGGAATTGCATATCCGCATCAGCTTCTCTGCCAAGAGGAATCTTGAAAAACTGCCAGCATGTTCATGCTGAACATCCTACTGCTGCTCGGATCTCACCCGCGCAGTTCCGTCCTTGTGCACAGATTGTGGTGGTCGCTGGATTACTACTTCAGGTTGATGGAAAAACAAATCCTAAAATCCAGAGTATCTATTTGGAAAAATGTCCCCCACCCCTTTTTTTTTGAGACGGAGTCTTGCTCTGTGGCTAGGCTGGAGTCCAGTGGCACGATCTCAGCTCACTGCAACCTCTGCTTCCCAAGTGGCTGCAACTACAGGCGCGCCCCAGCATGCCCAGCTAATTTTTGTATTTTTAGTATAGAGGGGGTTTCACCATGTTGGCCAGGATGGTCTCGATCTCTTGACCTTGTGATCCGTCCCCCTCAGCCTCCCAGACTGCTGGGATTACAGGCATAAGCCACTATGCACGGTTGGTTCCCCATCTTTAAGGCTTGTTTTAGTGCTAATGGGGAAGAAGTTTAAGCCACAAGTACCCATAGCAAGGCTCTTTATGTCTACGACATGCTAGCTGGAAAGTTAATTCTTGTGCACCAAGTGAGAGGTTTGAAAGAAGATAGTGAGGAGCTTTGACTCCCCAGATGGGTCCTTCTTTCTCTTAAATGGCATTGCTGGGCATTTGCATTTGCTATCAATGAAGACCAAAGAACTGATTGGAAGCACGAAAATTAATGGAAGGGTTGCAGCATCCACGTTCTCTTCAGATAGTAAGAAAGTGTACGCCTCTTCAGGGGACGGAGAAGTTTATGTTTGGGATATGAACTCAAGGAAGTGTCTTAACAGATTTGCTGATGAAGGCAGTTTATACGGATTAAGCATTGCCACATCTAGGAAAGGACAGAATGTTGCTTGTAGTTCTAATTGCGGAGTGGTAAATATATACAATCAAGATTCTTGCCTCCAGGAAACAAACCCGGAGCCAGTAAAAGCTATAATGAAATTGGTTACAGGTGTTACTTCTCTGACCTTTAATCCTACTACAGAAATCTTGGCAATTGCTTCAGAAAAAAATGAAAGAAGCAGTCAGATTGATTCATCTTCCTTCCTGTACAGTATTTTCAAACTTCCCAGTCATTAAAAAGAAGAATAATTCTCACATTCATACCACGGATTTTTCTCCCAAAAGTGGATACTTTGCCTTGGGGAATGAAAAAGACAAGGCCCTGATGTATAGATTGCACCATTACTCAGACTTCTAAAGAGACTGACGTCCAGTTGAGTCACAAGAGAAGCCTGTCTTGATATATCATCCCAGAGACTTTCCCGAACATGCGATAATGTATGGAAAATGACTTATAGAGCCCGCTGTGCTTAAGAGCCACTAGTATCTTAATAAACATGTGGCAGCTTTTGTTTGAAAAAAAAGTAAGAGGGTAGTGATATTAAAATATTTTAACAATTTGTTTCTGTTTTTGAGCATTTGAGATGTGCGACAGCATGCCGTGGCGTTAGATAATGAGCACTGTTATACTTCCACCTCCTCCGGGTTGTTTACGTTTTGTTTCATTTGTGTGTAACGTATTCTGTTCTCCAATCATATTTCCTCAAGTTGTTTAGTCTGAACTATTTATTAAAATGAATTTGAGGCTCAATAATTGTCCTGTTACCATAATTATTCATCTTGAATGTTTTAATTTAGATTCATTTCTTGCTTGACTAAATTTTCTCACTACATAATCTTTTGCCAAAATAGCTCAAGGGTAGGAAGGGGCTCAGTATTCCCTGAGTTGTTTTGTATTTAAGACTATTTACCTGTGGCCTTTATATTGGACTGACAACCTCACTAGTGTACTGAATGTTCTTAATGTTTCCTCAGAACTTAGCTGAACTTGTTCCACTGGTTTCTGTCATCATACAGAAGCCTGGGGCCATCCCAAATTTCCACTGATTATTTCTGTATAGACAACTTGTTTTTTCCTTCCTGGATACTTGAAGAATTCTTTATTTAATTCAATAACTTAGCTAGGATGTGTGTTAACATTGATCCTTATATAATCATAATCAGTATTGATTACTGTGTATCAGAGTTTCCTGGTTCGAAGTGTGCCCTTCAGATCTATTTAGTCCTTCCTTTCATGACATTTTTCCTGTATTATATCTCTGAATACGTCCACTATTCCTTTGGGTAAATTTTCAACTTGGAATCAGTTATCCAGATGTTGGATTGGCTTTGTCTTTTCTTGAGTTATGGGCTCTGGTTCTTTAGTTGCTTTTGCTTTGATATCTTTCTTCATTCCTTCCTTCCCTCCTTTGCTGGTGGAGGTCAATTTGCATGGCTGTTGAGGGATTTGGCTTCATCTGCTCCTGGTACTGTGGGCAGCCCCACCTACTGCTCTGAGACCATACAAGTGATTTTTCCTTCCTGCCTTTCTGATCTTAGACAGAGCTCAGTACTACAGTTTGAGGAAGAATTCTGTTTCTTCTCAGGCCTCTATTCTTCAACTCCTAAAGTTTTTTCCAGATTCTGACAATGTAAAATGCACCTGAAGCTGACTCTAGTTATAGAAAAAGATGCATCTTAACTTCCTAGTAACTATTTCTATCTTTCTGAATCTCTGTTCACTATATCTATGTAAGAATTTATAACATGCTACAATGAACATTTAATATTTTTACACGTAAAAAGACATTCAGGCCATTTTCATTTTTTTAATGATTGTTTACATCTAATCTTTTTTTCCCATTTATTTATTTTATTACATTTTAGATTTTGGGGTACATGTGAAGAACATGCAAGATTGTTGCATAGGTACACACGTGGCAGTGTGATTTCCTGCCTTCCTCCCCATCACCTACATCTGGCATCTCTCCCCTTGCTATCTCTCCCCAGCTCCCCACCGCCCACCGTCCCTCCCCTATTTCCCCCCAACTGACCCCAGTGTGTAGTGCTCCCCTCCCTGTGTCCATGTGTTCTCATTGTTCAACACCCGCCTATGAGTGAGAACACGCAGTGTTTGATCTTCTGCTCTTCTGTCAGTTTGCTGAGAATGATGGTTTCCAGGTTCATCCATGTCCCTACAAAGGACACAAACTCATCGTTTTGATGGCTGCATAATATTCCATGGTGTATATGTGCCACATTTTCCCTGTCCAGTCTATCTTCGATGGGCATTTGGGCTGGTTCCAGGTCTTTGCTATTGTAAACAGTGCTGCAATGAACATTCGTGTGCACGTGTCCTTATAGTAGAACGATTTATAATCCTTTGGATATATACCCAGTAATGGGATTGCTGGGTCAAATGCAAGTTCTATTTCTAGGTCCTTGAGGACTCGCCACACTGTCTTCCACAATGGTTGAACTAATTTGCACTCCCACCAACAGTGTAAAAGTGTTCTTATTTCTCCACATCCTCTCCAACATCTGTTGTCTCCAGATTTTTTAATGATTGCCATTCTAACTGACGTGAGATGGTATCTCAATGTAGTTTTGATTTGCGTTTCTCTAATGACCAGTGATGATGAGCATTTTTTCATGTGTTTGTTGCCCTCATGAATGTCTTATTTTGTAAAGTGTCTGTTCATATCCTTTGCCCACTTTTGAATGGGCTTGTTAGTTTTTTTCTTGTAAATCTGTTTTAGTTCTTTGTAAATTCTGGATATCAGCCCTTTGTCAGATGGGTAAACTGCAAAAATTTTTTCCCATTCTGTTGGTTGCCAATTCACTCTAATGACTGTTTCTTTTGCTGTGCAGAAGCTGTGGAGTTTGATTAGGTCCCATTCGTCTATTTTGGCTTTTGTTGTCAATGCTTTTGGTGTTTTGGTCATGAAGTCCTTGCCTACGCCTATGTCCTGAATGGTTTTGCCTAGGTTTTCTTCTAGGGTTTTTATGGTGTTAGGTCTTATGTTTAAGTCTTTCATCCATCTGGAGTTAATTTTAGTGTAAGGTGTCAGGAAGGGGTCCAGTTTCTGCTTTCTGCACATGGCTAGCCAGTTTTCCCAACACCATTTATTAAACAGGGAATCCTTTCCCCATTGCTTATTTTTGTCTGGTTTGTCAAAGATCAGATGGTTGTAGATAAGTTGTGTGGCCTCTGAGACCTCTGTTCTGTTCCATTGATCTATACCTCTGTTTTGGTACCAGTACCATGCTGTTTTGATTACCGTAGCCTTGTAGTATAGTTTCAAGTCCGGTAGTGTGATGCCTCCCGCTTTGTTCTTTTTGCTTAGAATTGATTTGGCTATGCGGGCTCTCTTTTGGTTCCATATGAAGTTTAAGGTGGTTTTTTCCAGTTCAGTGAAGAAGGTCATTGGTAGCTTGATGGGGATAGCACTGAATCTGTAAATTACTTTGGGCAGTATGGCCATTTTCACGATATTGATTCTTCCTAACCATGAACATGGAAGGTTCCTTCACCTGTTTGTGTCCTCTCTTATTTCATTGAGCAGTGGCTTGTAGTTCTCCTTGAAGAGGTCCTTTACATTCCTCGTTAGTTGTATTCCTAGGTATTTTATTCTCTTTGTGGCAATTGTGAATGGAAGTTTGTTCTTGATTTGGCTCTTTTGAGGTCTGTTATTGGTGTATAGGAATGCATGTGATTTTTGCACATTGATTTTGTATCCTGAGACTTTGCTGAAGTTGCTTATCAGTTTCAGGAGATTTGGGGCTGAGACGATGGGGTCTTCTAGATATACAATCATGTCGTCTGCAAATAGAGACAATTTGACTTTCTCCTTTCCTATTTGAATGCCCTTTATTTCTTTTTCTTGCCTGATTGCTCTGGCTAGAACTTCTAATACTATATTGAATAGGAGTGGTGAGAGAGGGCATCCTTGTCTAGTGCCAGATTTCAAGGGGAATGCTTCCAGTTTTTGCCCATTCAGGATGATATTGGCTGTTGGTTTGTCGTAAATAGATTTTATTATTTTGAGATACGTTCCATCAATACCTAGCTTATTGAGGGTTTTTAGCATAAAGAGCTGTTGAATTTTGTCAAAGGCCTTCTCTGTATCAATTGAGATAATCATGTGGTTTTTGTCTTTGGTTCTGTTTATGTGGTGAATTACGTTTATAGACTTGCATATGTTGAACCAGCCTTGCATCCCTGGGATGAAGCCTACTTGATCATGGTGGATAAGCTTTTTGATGTGCTGTTGCAATCGGCTTGTCAGTATTTTATTGAAGATTTTTGCATCTATGTTCATCATGGATATTGGCCTGAAGTTTTCTTTTCTTGTTGAGTCTCTGCTGGGTTTTGGAATCAGGATGATGTTGGTTTCATAAAATGATTTGGTAAGAATTCCCTCCTTTTGTATTGTTTGGAATAGTTTCAGAAGGAATGGTACCAGCTCCTCTTTGTATGTCTGGTAGAATTTGGCTGTGAACCCATCTGGACCTGGGCTTTTTTTTGGGTGGCAAGCTCTTTTTTTTTTTTTTTTTTTTTTTTTTTGGAGATGGAGTTTTGCTCTTGTTTACCCAGGCTGGAGTGCAATGGCGCGATCTCGGCTCACCGCAACCTCCGCCTCCTGGGTTCAGGCAATTCTCCTGCCTCAGCCTCCTGAGTAGCTGGGACTACAGGCACGCGCCACCATGCCCAGCTAATTTTTTTTTGTAGTTTTAATAGAGACGGGGTTTCACCATATTGACCAGGATGGTCTCGATCTCTTGACCTCGTGATCCACCCGCCTCGGCCTCCCAAAGTGCTGGGATTACAGGCTTGAGCCACCGCGCCCGGCCTGGTGGTAAGCTCTTAATTGCTGCCTCAACTTCAGACCTTGTTATGGGTCTGTTCAGGGTTTCGGCTTCTTCCTGATTTAGGCTTGGGAGCAGGCAAGTGTCCAGGAATTTATCCATTTCTTCCAGATTTACTAGTTTATGTGCATAGAGTTGTTTGTAATAATCTCTGATGATGGTTTGAATTTCTGTGGAATCTGTGATGATATCCCCTTTATCGTTTTTTATTGCATCAATTTGGTTATTCTCTCTTTTCTTTTTTATTAATCTGGCTAGGGGTCTGTCTATTTTGTTGATCTTTTCAAAAAACCAGCTCCTGGATTTATTGATTTTTTGAAGGGTTTTTTGTGTCTTTATCTCCTTCAGTTCTGCTCTGATCTTAGCTATTTCTTGTCTTCTGCTAGACTTTGAGTTTTTTTGATCTTGCTCCTCTAGCTCTTTCAATTTTGATGATAGCGTGTCAATTTTTGATCTCTCCTTGCTTCTCATGTGGGCACTTATTGTTATATATTTTCCTCTAGAGACTGCTTTAAATGTGTCCTAGAGATTCTGGTATGTTGTGTCTTCATTCTCGTTGGTTTCGAAGAACATCTTTATTTCTGCCTTCATTTCATTGTTTATCCAGTCAACATTCAAGAGCAAGTTGTTCAGTTTCCATGAAGCTGTGCGGTTCTGGGTTA